CCCGAACTTGCCCGCCCGACAGGTCAATTCTGGAATGTGAGCAATGCCAGTGCTCCGCGCGCGCACATTCCAAACAATCCGAGAACCCGCAACTGGCCCGGTGATCGGGGCGTCGGGTATCGCACGGACACTCTTCGGACGTTCGTGCCCAAAGGCGTGGTTCGGGGCCAGTGCCTTGTACCCACTGGCAAACGACTTTGTCGGGGAGGACACGGTTCGGTTTGTGGTTGTGTTTTGTTTTGTCTTGAAAGAGGAAGAGATGAGGACTACTCAGTGCATGGGGACGAATGGCTTCTGGGGCTGCTTCAGAGACCGCTCCATGCACTGTGCATAGGCTTGCAGGGGTTCCTGACACAGGACGAGGCCTCGAACGCCGGCTTGTGCGTCCTGCAGGATTTGAAGGAGAGGAAATGATGATGAGTGGAAGTTTTAAGATGGATGGCCAGTGAAGAGGAAAGGGGTCGAGCACTGGCGAGGCTGCATCCAAAATGGCCAGCAAGCATTCCATCATCGAAATAGTTGCGCAGATGAGCGGTACCTCTGTGCCCTTGTGCTTGGACTGCTCAGAGAAGCAATGGAAGAAGACGAGGCCAGCCTTCTGGCATTCTCGTGTGAGGGAAGGGAAGTAGTCGGGCAACACAGGCGAAAGGTCTTCCGTTGCGCTCTGCATGTTGCGTTCTGTTGGCGTCTTGATTTTGAGATCGTGAAGAAAATCAAAAAGAAACTGATTTCGAAGAATAGCGGCAGCACGGGTTGTTGAGCTTGTCGCGCGTCACTCATCTTGTTCAGTCATCGCGATGAGGATCGCTGGCCGTCCTATCCTTGCCGGCCGGGCACCGTTCTCCGCCTCGAGCCTCGTACGATTTCCATTCGCGATTTTCTGAATTAATTTTCCGATTGAAATTAATCAATCTTTGGCCCTCCTCGCCACAGTTCAGTGTGAATGCAGCTACCAAGATCCTTTATCGCCGGAGCCACACGTATCCTACCCTTAAACCTCTCAATCACTTTCATATATTTCTATTATTATTTTTTTACAAATAATAAAAAAACAACTATTTTGTTGCTACAGTGCCGGCCTCATGCCGTGGCGAGTGAGTGACATCCTCAGCAAAGCCACGCCTGGCCAAGATCTCGTCATCAAGGTACTCCCCGACTGACCGAGTGAGTTACTAGTCTGGTGGTAACTCTCTTCTTTGCCGCGCAGGGATGGGTCCGCACAGTGCGACAGCAGAAGCAGCACGCGTTCGTGGAGCTGTCCGATGGCTCACATCAGACGCCGCTCCAGATCGTGGCCACTCCCGAGCTGGTCAAAGGGTGCGCCGGAGATGCGGTTACAATGCGCATTTGTGGGATTCTCACCTCACCGGCCACTTCACACACGACACGACATGACACACACACGGCACACGGCACGACCAACGACACACAACAGGGCGTCGACTGGTTGCAGCATCGAAGTGGAAGGCAAGATTGTGGAGAGCCCAGCCGGGAAGCAAAAGCTCGAAATGGTGGCTTCCCGACTGAACATCATCGGCGCTTGCGACCCCGAGGTGAGGCCCGCTCGCTTCTTGATCCAGCAGCAACTGGAGTGTCGTGTCGTTGGTCGTGTCGTTGGTCGTGTGGTGTGTGCGTGTTGTGTCGTGTCGTGTCGTGTCGTGTGCATGTTGTGTAGTGCTGATTTTGTGACGGTGCGAGTCCAGAAATACCCACTCGCCAAGAAGAAGCATTCGTTGGAGTTCATGAGGGAGATTCCGCACCTGCGTGCGCGGACCAACACCATCGGAGGTTCAACCTTCTTCTTCTTCTTCTGGGCAACACCTCTGCGCCGCCTTTGGGCTCACGGTTGGGCACCACTCACGCACGCAGGCGTGCTGCGGGTGCGAGACACGGCCGCGTCTGCCATCCGAGACTTCTTCCACGAGAACGGCTTCATCGAGCTACACACGCCCATCCTAACCTCCTCCGACTGCGAAGGCACGTGTGACGAACAGCGTTCTTTCTTTCGCGCCGTCACGATGACCCTGACCCCAACGGGCCAACACACACACGGCACACACACACACGACACACACACTAGGCGCTGGCGAGCAGTTCACGGTCTCGGCGCTGATGCCCGCCTCGTCCAGTGAGCAAGGTTCATTCCTTTCGCTCCTCGCCTGCGCTTCGACGTCGTGTGTGAATGAGAAATTGACGCGTCGTGTTGTGACCCGACCACGATGCAACTGCGTGCGACAGGCCCGCGCGAGTTCTTCGATCGCACGGTCGGCCTCACCGTGTCGGGCCAGCTGCAGGCCGAGATGGCCGCGTGTGCGCTCTCGCGCGTGTACACCTTCGGTCCCACCTTCCGCGCCGACAACTCCATGACCCGCAACCACCTCGCCGAGTTCTGGTATTTTTTAAATCTTTTTATTTATTATTTATTTTTGTTCAATATTCTTTAATTATTTATTCGATGTAATGTTGCTTATTTGCTTTATTATTTATTTGTTTTGCAGGATGATCGAGCCCGAGATCGCGTTCTGTGACCTCAACCTGAACATGCGCGTGGCGGAGCACATGGTGAAGGCGGTCATCGAAGCCGTGCTGGCCAAGTGCGACGAGGACATGGCATTCTTCCACAAGCGGGTCGACGAGGGACTCATGGCCCGCCTCCACAAGACTCTCGCAGGCAGGCCTCTCGTGTGTGTCGTGCGGTGGGTGTGTGTGTGTGGTCGTAGGACTTACCAAAAGGCACGCCACACAGGTCCTTTCCAGGAGGTGACCTACACGGACGCCGTGAAGCTGCTGGAGAAGAGCGGAAAGAAGTTCGAGTTCCCGGTGGCCTGGGGCCTCGACCTGCAGAAGGAGCACGAGAGGTACCTCGTCGAGGTCCGTTTCCTCCCGGCTTTTCTGCTCCGTCCTCCTCTTGTCTCACTTGCGCATCGCGCGTCTCAGTTCGAGTTTGACAACCGACCGGTCTTTGTGACGCACTATCCCAAGGACATCAAGCCCTTCTACATGAAGCTCGATGAGGTAACCCAACCCTACCACGTGTGTGTGTCCGTGTGTGTGTGTGTGTGTGTCGTGTGTGTCGTGTGGTTGACGTGACCCTTTCCTTGCAGGACGGTCGCACCGTGCAAGCCATGGACCTCCTGGTCCCCACGATAGGTGCGTACGCAGCTTCCGATGGAATTCAGCTCTGTGGCCAAGCCGCGGCTGACCTGGTCTGAGCTGGTTGGTGCGTGCTTACAGGCGAGCTGATCGGCGGCAGTGTGCGTGAGGAGAACCTCGACACGTTGCAGGCCCGCATGAAGGCCATGAACATGAACGTGGACGACTACCAGTGGTACCTTGACTTGCGGCGGTACAGCTCCTTTTCCCCTGCGCACTCAGCCACACGACTTCACGACTCACGCGCTCCGAACGGTCATCTGCACGTTCCAGCTTCGGCACAGTGCCGCACGCAGGCTTCGGGCTGGGCTTCGAGCGGCTGCTGCAGTACGTGACGGGCATGGACAACATCCGCGACGTCATCCCCGTCCCGCGCTACCGCGGCTACTGCCGTTTCTGATGACTCTCGCCCGGCCTTCTTCTTCTTTGATGCCGATCAAGACAACAACAAGACGACCATGGTGTTGGTTTCAATTAATTGTTTTCTTTATTGTTGTTTTGGGGGTTCACTGGATGTTCATGGTGATTCGGATGTTCATGGCGGCGAGCTCGTTGACGAGGTAGCGGAAGACGTAGGGAATGGTGATGGCGGTCACGCCGTCCTTCGACTCGCAGAAGGTGCACATCACCTTGCGGTCCTTGGTGTTCACCGGCGAGATGATACTGCCGCAGCCCTTGCACGCCCAGCTCTGTTGCGACGACCAACAAACAAGTCAGCAAAACGGTCTCCGTTGTGTGTCGCGCGCGTGTGTGTGGTGTGTGTGTGTGTGGTGTGTGTGTGTGTGTGGTGAAAGTGTTTGCGACAAGCGAAGCAAGCACCGCTGCAAGAGCGAATGGCGCTTGTATTAGAGTCGTAATGGTTTGATGTTGTCCAATGGGTACGAAGCGAAATCCATGCTCTCACGAGTACTGAGAGATAAACCTTCGGCGGACATAGGTGTGTGCACGGTCGTGTCGTGTCGTGTCGTGTCGTGTCGTGTCGTGTCGTGTCGTGTCGTGTCGTGTCGTGTCGTGTCGTGTCGTGTCGTGTGCAGTGTGTTGTGGGGAGGCGAACCCTGGAGTAATCGGAGCACTTGAAGAGTCGGTCCTGCAGGAGGAACGAGGTGCCGTGGGCCAGAAGACAATCGCGCTCCATCTCTCCGAAACGGATACCACCTCCCTTTTGACGACCCTGTTTTCACAAAGAAAGAACGAAAACGAAAACGAAACGCGAAGCCGACGCCGGCGTGAGTAAAAATCAAAATCAAAACAAATGTAATCAATCAAAATAAATTGTGATAAAAAATTAGAGGGCGAACCTTGATGGGCTGTTGGGTGAGCTGGTGGACGGGACCGGTGGACCGCACCTGGTACTTGTCCTTCACCATGTGACGCAGACGCTGATAGTACACCACGCCCAGGTAGATGTCGGCCCGCAGCTCGCACCCTAGGATGCCCGAATACATGGGCTCGTTGCCGTAGTAGTTGTAGCCGGCCGCCAGCAGCTGCTGGCCGAAGTAGTCAACCGCCGTGTGCTTCTCGTCGAACCTGTCATTTTTCACACACGCGCGCGTGCGATTCAGCGTGTGTCGTGCGGTTTGTGCGTGTGCGGTGGTGTGTGCGGTCGTACCGGAAGGGAGTGGCATCCTGGAACATGCCGTGGAGGGCGCCAGACTTGGAGGCCATGGACTCGATCAACATGGCGATGGTCATACGCGAGGGGAAGGCGTGCGGGTTGATGATGACGTCGGGCGACATGCCCGACTCGCTGAAGGGCATGTTCTCCTGCGGCCACAGCTGGGACATGACGCCCTTCTGCCCGTGCCTCGATGCGAACTTGTCTCCGATCACCGGGTTTCGATTGAGCCGCAGCTTGATCGACACGCGCTGGATCAGGCCCTTGCTCGACGTGCCGACGACGCGCACCTCGTCCACGACGGCCTCCTCCTTGCTCTTGTACCGGTGCAGGTGCGGCTTGCCGGTGCCGCCGTCAACCGTGACGTAGAACGGGCTGCCCGCCTCGAGCCTCGTACCCGGGGCACTGTAGGCGTGATATGGGGTGGTGTAAGCACGTGTGTGTGTGTGTTGTGTGTGTCGTGTCGTGTGGTACGTACGGCAGACCGTCCTCTTCGAGCTCCTCGCAGAAGCGCTTCTTGGCGGGCTGCATGCCGTCTTCGTCCATGGCCTGTTGGTCCTTGTCCTCCACGAGCGGGTTGGCGATGTACTTGGGCGCGTCGCCCTTCTTCTCCTTCCGCGCAAAGTCCACCAGCTCGTTCTTGTAGACGCTGGCGTGACCGAATCCGCGCTGGTAGGCGGCCTTGTTGATGATCATGGCGTCCTCCATGTCGTAGCCGGTGTACGAAAGCACGGCGACGATGGCGTTGGCGCCGATCGGGTAGTCGTCGAGCTCGTACTCGTCGTAGACGTTGGTGCGCGACACGGGCGCCTGCGGGTTCTGGATGCGGTAGATCTTGTTGTCCGTCCGGTGCTGGAACGAGTGGCACGGCGTGGCGATCGACTGCTTGGCCATCTGGCACTGGTACATGTTTCGGGGCGACTGGTTCATGTCGCAGAAGGGCGTGAGGCCGGCCACGACCGAGAGCATGTTCATGGGTCGGATCTCCTGGTGCGTGAAGATGTCCTTGTCCTTCCTGTCCTCGTCGAGCACCGCAATGTTCATGTACACCTGTAGGTTGTGTGTGTGTGTGTTGTGTGTGTGTTGGTCACTCTTCACCGACCAACGAACGCGCGCATTGTTGGAATGCCTTGGTTTACGCACCTGCTCGAAGGAGCCGATGTACTCGATGTCGCCGGTGGCGAGGTACTTGACGGGGCGCATCATGCGCGAGGGCGTGGTCCACATGTAGAGCCCGGGGTACTGCTTGCTGACGCCGGCCGGCACCAGACCCAGCTCGAGCGTCCACGGGATGTCTTCGAGCTTTTTCACCTTCAGGTAGCGCAGCTTTTCGACCAGCTGCGGCGCGGCCGCGTGCGGAATGAAGCCCATGAGCTCACCTGCGCGTTATGCGGTGTTAAATTGATTGCATTCCGATCATTCATCGATGACGTGGCTTGCGAGAGCCCTGCAAAGGAGGCATACCGTCGAGGAAAACGTCGAGGTACTGGTCGGAGGGGAAGAGAATGGACTGGGACGCGGGCGAAACGCCCAGCGAGACCAGGAGAGAGGCCATCCGTCGGGTGTCGGCCTGGTGCGTGATGAGCTGCAGCAGCGCGACCATTGTGGCGGCGGTCAGTAAAAAGAGCATCACCGCAGACAGACGCGAAATCGACTACTTACCCTGCACACGGCGGTCAAATGGTTGATGAGACCACAAGGCGCTCCGTCGGGAGTGTGCACAGGACAGAAGAAACCTATGCAACACCACACACATACACACACACACACACACACGAGCAGGTTGGTCAACTACACGAATCATTGATGATCGTCGTGTGGAGTAGTGATGAAAAGAGGGTTGAGAGTTGAATCAACGCACCCCACGACTCGGGCATGAGCTTACGCACGGCGGTCGTCTTCATGGTGGCGAAGAAGGCGCCTCTGTGGACGCAGCGGAAGTGGGAGAAGTAACGCAGCCAATTGAGCTTCTCGGCCACCACGACGTAACCGTTGAGCTGCAGGGCAGGGGGGGAGACGAAGGGTAGCGTGTTTATGTGAGACGCAGCGCACTGCGGGTGAGGTGCACCAGGTCAGGTCTGTACCTGCATGAGGCCCATGCCGGTGGACGAGATCAGGTTGCCGGTGGCGAGGAAGTAGTCCACCTTCTTGCCCAGGTCGAAGTTCTTCTCCATGGCCTTGCGCAGGTACCCCTCTGCACGCGCGCCACCCACGATTCAGCCCAACGCTCGCGTAGGAACGACGACGACGACGACGAGTGGAGGGTAGGTAGGCATACCAGGATCGGATTCCCAGGTGAGGCCGGCCTTGGCGGAGGGCATGGCGTGCAGTTTGTTGAGGATCAGCTTGACGCCGACGAGCCACTCCTGCATCTTCTCCTTGAGGAACATGAGGTAGACGTGGCCGGGCAACAGCAGCTCGAAGTTCATGGGCGAATCGGCGTTGTCGGGACCGATCTCACCGCTCGCCAGAGAGTAGAGCTTGCGGATCATGAAACTAAGAATTGTGGGCGCGGCCAATGGGAATCAATCAATTGTAAGTAAGACCAGTGACCATGAATTGAGGAGGCCAAGGGGGCGAGATGGTCACGTACGCGAGAAGGTCGAACTTCTGCTTGTTCTTCTGCGGGTTCAGGTGCACAAAGATGTAACGGTCGAGCAGGAACTGGCCCACCTCGATGTCCGTCATCCTCTCGGGCACCCGGAGAGCAATACGGAAGCTGGAACCTGCGGGTATCGTGCGTGCGTGAGTGAGGCGAAGTGAGTGAGCACAGAAGCGTCATGATGACTGACATCTGTTGTTTGGTTCGAGTGAGTGCGGGCGGGCGGGTACCGAGGTAGGCGAGACACTGCTCCTTGGTCTCCATGTTCTCGTATGACTTGGCCTCGCGCAGGATCACTTCCACACTGTCGTAATATATAATAATAATAATAATAATAATAATAAATTAATAAAGGCGACAAAGCAGGTCAGATGCTGCCAGGCCGCGGCCACATGACGACTGTGAGCGAGAGCGAGGGCGGAGGGCCGCACCGATCAGTCAAGAATGTGTTCTCCACGTCGCCGCGGACGAGGCTGTTGTAGATTTCTCTGTCGGTGGTGGAGATGAGGGCCTAATGGTGTTTTTGGTGCCAGCGAAAAACAGGGTCAGTGCCGATGAGCTAGCAGCGGCGAGCCAACCACGTGCATAAGACAAAGGGCGCTGCCCGGGGCCACAATACCTTAAGGATGAGGATGCCGGGGATGAAGTACTCCTGCTTGAAAACTGAGATACGCAGAGAGCAGGAACCGTTGGAGAGATAGTGGAGAGTCATGTTCTGGTTGGATTGATCCCTGTAGCGAGAGAGAGAGAGAATCACGAATGAGTAAACCATGTTGCCCACGAAAAAGCGAGGTTGAAGAAATGGAAGAAGAAGAAGAAGCGTACTTGCGCACGCTACGGATCTGCACACCGTGTTGTGTGTAGTAATTGCCCTTGCCGGCCCACGATGGTCGCTGCACTGCCATGGGCTGAGATGGAAGGCGAGATGGAAGGTTAGCGCAGGGCCGGCAGCGCCTACGTGGGTGGTATGCCACTGTGCAAAGAGACAGAGGAGCGTCGTACAAAGTTGCGCTTGGGCATACAGATCAAACGAATGAGCTTCTCCAGACCGTTGATGATGAAGTAGCCACCAAGCTCGGTGCCCTCCTCGCGGGCTTTGACGAGCTCGGCCGGCGACATGCCGTCGAGGTGGCATTTGTTTGACTGTGTTGTGTTGTGTGCGTAGAGCGTCAACAATCAAGACCCGGCGCATATCGTCGCTTATGAGGAATAGAAGCGACGTACTTTCACCATGAGAGGGATCTTGCCCATGGTCCTTTGCAACCGGCCCACCTTCTCGCCCACCTTGTAGCCGATGGTGGCCACACATAGACCGTTGTACGTGAAGCCGCCCTCTCGGCACTGCAGTGGCGGAAAGGAGCTCGATTAGCGGCACAATTGCATGCAATCAATAAACCCAATAAATAGAATGCAACCAGTACAGCTGCTACAAGATAGACATGCAACATGCTTGCACGGCTCCGTACGGAGACGGAAATCGGGCGAAATGAAAATCCGCAAATTAAAAAATCGCGATTGACGTACCTCGTTGGGGTAGAGCTTTTCATCAAGGTTGTCGCGTGAAGGTTTGGCGATCTGGAAGTCCTCATACCACAGCTTCACGGCGGGGCCGCCTTTGGCCACTTGGAATTCCTCCTTGAGGAGGTCCTGCACGGCAAGCTGCAAGCCATCCTGCATCGCAAAGTTGAACGATTCGATCTGGGGGCGCGTCATGTCCTGCATCTTGGGATTGAGCTTCTCTCGCACGCCGAAGACGTCGCGCAGCATCGGAGAGGAGCCATTGCTCGATGATGATGTCTTTCTTGCGGCCATTATTGTTGTGTGATTTGGAGATCGGGAATGAGCTTCGACTGGCTTGCCAATTCGAGGAGCTGGGTCCGGCAGTGGGCAAGAGGCAGAGGTGTGGCCGGAGGAGAGATGGATGAGATCCTCTCTGATGGAGTGTGGCAAAGAGAAGAAAGAAGCGGGAAGAAGAAAGTCCGATTTGTTAAAAAGAAAAGATGAATTAATGAAGTAGGATACGAACATTGAAGCCGATGAGGATGGTGGCGCAAAGACGGGAGCTTGTGAGGGGATCACAAACAATGTATTGTACAACAAAATCCGTCTAAACAGCTCCGTTACGGTCAACTCCAGCTTCAGAAGCCGATCCAAGCGCTGAGCATCGCAGGCATGAAGCTCGTCGATTCCATGCTCGACGCGGCCGAGCACACCGTCTTGTCGTAGGCAATGGTGAAGTACCAGTTCGTGGCGGTGGCGCATTGGGCGGAGGTCACGTTTGCAGCGAGGGGGCTACCGGTGCATCCCTCCCCATCATAGAAGGCCGTCTGTTGGTTCGTGCAGTTGATGAGGGTCGAGATGCTGCCGTCGGGCAGGGTGAAGTTCAGACAACCGCCATCTTCAACGATTGAGTAGCCGCATGCGACCTTCAGGTCATTGCAGCCAGGCGCGCCGTAGAGAGTCCACACGACGTCGCATCCCGTGGCAAAGAGAGGGGCGAGGAGGAAGAGGCACGAAATGAAGAGGTAGAATCGAGACATGTTGCGTGAAGTGAAATGGATTGAATTACAATTGCGTTGGCGTGTGATGCGGCCGTTTTTCTTCGAGCTATTCTTTTCTTTGCATTTTTAATTTGGCCAATTACAAGAACCAAGCAGTGATGACATCACTGACGATCCAAGTACATGGGGTCCCCTTGTACGATGGTGCTGGTGGTGTTGGTAATGGCAGGCGGAGTGGCAAGGAGTGGCGGCGGTGGCGGCAGAGGCTCTGGCGGTGGCGGCAGTTGCTGCTGCTGCTGTTGCGTCCCCACTGCCGGCGGAGCCGCTCCCAGAGGAGCTCCTGGTGGACCAGAAGAGATTGGGGCAGGGAGGGAAGAGGAAGAGGACGCTGACGATGATAGAGATGATGAAGGAGTCGGAGATGGCGATGGCGACGACGTGGCCGATGTTGAGTCGGCGGTGGTTGGCAGGGCGAATCTGGATGCAAGCAACATGGATTACGGGTGAGTTGATGATTGAATCATCGTCGTTGGCATAACCGAAGCGCTCGGGCGCGTACTTGCCGACCAGCCCCGCGGGCGCCTTGGCAGAGTTGCCCGTTCCCAACGTGCTGGACTGGTCCGGTTGCATCGTAACGGGGGAACTGGAGGTGGCAGCGGCCGCGGAGGTGAAGGGCGACGGCAGCGGGGAAAAGTTGTACCGAGGCGGCGTTGGTGTCGACGGGAAAGGCGAGGTCGGGCTTGATGACGACAAGAACGAAGACGAAGACGAAGAAAAAGAAGATGAAGTCGAGGGCGATAGCGAAGGCGAAGGCGACGGGGCGGGCGTTGCGAGCGACCCAGTCACGCTGCTGGGCGCGGCCGCGGCGTTGGTCGCGGAGGTGTGTGGGACGAACGGCATGGGGTGGAGCGGGTTTTGCAGAATGGGCTGTAGGGCGGGCATGTGCAGTCGAGCATCGGCGTGCTTCTTGCGCATGTGCTGGTCCAGGGCGCCCTGGGTGCCGTAGGCCTTGTCACAGCGCGGGAACGGGCAGGCGAACTTCCGGTTGATCTCCTTGGCGAGCCTTCGCTTCCGCTTCTGTGGCTTGTCCAACCTAAAACAAGCCACCACACGCCATCAGTGTTTATATCACGCACACACGCACACGCACACGCACACGCACACGCACACGCACACGCACACGCACACGCACACGCACACGCACACGCACACGAAGGGCGGGCCAGTACTCTTCTTCGGGATTCTCCTTGTCATGCTCGCCGCCGCCGTCTTGGCCTTCCTCCTCTTTCTTGGTGGCGCCAACTGTCTTTCGTTTCTTGTTGTTGGGGGGCTGTGCCGCCTGCGTCTGCGTCGGCGGGGCTGGAGTTGGTCGGCCGGACAGGCGCGAGGGAAAGTTGTCGAAGTGCATTCTCAGCAGCTTCACGTCCACTTTGTTGCGTGGATCCGGATCCTGTGAACAAAACACGACACACACACACACACGACACACCACCATGTGTGTTAAACAGCATACATGTGCGCCGCGAGGGGGCGTGGGTGGATGACGTGCATTGGTCTTGGTGAGGGGGACGATGAAGCGGCCGTAGAGCTGTTCCCGTTTGTTGTATCGCTCCATGAGCTGCGGCGCGGTCGAGAAGACGGACGCGTAGGGATCGCGCCCGGGCAGGCCCTTGAACGGCCGCGGCTCGGGGAAGAAGATGTCCCGCGCACGCCTGAGCGCCGGCATGGGCAGCAAAATGGGGATCGAGAGCGACGCCGACGGTCCCGGCAGCTCCGGCGACGCAGCGCTCGCAACGCTCCGGGGTGCGAAGCCCACACCACCACCGCCTGGCGCAGCGGAAGCCACCGTAGTCGAAGGTGGTGTTGGTTGCTGCGGCGGAGGGCGAGGGGTGGTCGGGCCGCCGATGGTCGCCGGTCGAATCGCGGGCGCCGGAGCGCCAGGGG